GTCGCAATCAACTCACACTCGAAGCTCCAGGCGCCACGCAAAGGACGGATAGATTCGCGTCGATCCTCGAAGTCCGCCAGGATCCGAACTTGGTGGATTCGCCTGCATTTCTAACGGGTGGATGGCGTTTGCACAGAAGCAGGCGTTGCTTGGGCGCACCGCATTTTGGGGCGCCGATGAACGAAGATCCACGGCACACCGGAAATGGACCCGGCCAGCGACACCGTCGTCAACCCCAATAAACCCCTTTCAGGGCAACTTACAAGGCGAGCAATTTTGCGCAGTACCATGCCGCCGGCATTGAAGACGGACGGAGAAGTCCAAGCCGTTGAAAACAACGGTCAGATTCATGCGGCGCGTCGAAGTCCTCCGGGATCCGATTTTGGCCGGTGCTGGAGTAGCAAGGAACCTGTTTTTGCGCGGCCGATGTCAGTGGAACGGAGCGCCAGCGGGTGCACACAAGGAACGATATGCTTGGCCGCACAAAAGGAAGGCTCTGCCGCTCTCGAGCTGTCGTTGAACGTCAGCACGCGCAGAGCAAAGGGCAGCGGTGGTTGCACTACCACAAAATAGGGCGCAGCGCCACCCCAAACTGACCCCTAGTGCAAGAGTTCATCGAGATCCGACATCCCAACCACGCAGACAAGAAAAATGTAGAAACTGATGAAAGACCCCCCCTGCAACCCTTCCAAACCCCGTTTCGGCCAGTCGACAAGGCGACCCCCGATTCGCGCGCCGATAACGTCGACATGCGAAAGCGCGAACCGGAAACCACGCAGAAATATGAGCATGTGTGCGACAAGAATCCGCGCACCGGGACGGTCAAAACCCTCTGGGGGCAACAAAGATCGACGGCACACAGACAAGGGACACGGCTGCTATCACCGTCGGCAACCCCCACAAACCCCTCGAAGGGCATCTCAGAAGGTGAGCAATTTTTCGCACCCACAGTCCTCGCGCAATCAACTCACACTTGAAGCTTCAGGCCTCATGCGAGCACTTTTGCGTGCCCGGAGGCCTCTGGTAATCAGAACGCACTCGACAGTCGTGGCCGTCGAAAACGGCGGTTAAATTTACGCGGGAACTCAAAGTCCGCCGGGATCCGAACTTGGCGCTTGCTGTACTAGCCAGGAACCGGTTTGCGCGGGGGACGACGGATATTTGGATGACCGGTGTGGAATTGCACAGAAGGAACGCTAGGCTTGGCTGCATGTTCAGGGA